GTTACTAATGTTGTGGCCCCACCCCATAACAAAGAAACAGAATTTCCGGAGGATGAGGCCCAGAAATGAGGATTTTAAAAAGATTCCCAGGTGATTCTAATGTGCAGCCAAGGTTGAGAACCACTGCTCTAGAGTATGAGCATCAACTCTTTTCCATTTTATAATTTTTGTGTGGATTTTTTGAGACATATCTAAAAATTTTTTTAAAAGTATTTTAGGCCCCAAATCAATCTTATCTTCTAAAATGCCAAAAGAACTTCTGTTTGCATAATATAAATTCTAACAATACAATTAAAGTACAAATATACATATTAATTTAAGACACATACACATATAGTGGTTGAATAGTCTGTGTTTACTCCATCAATCCTTTTCAATTTAATACTGTCCTGCTTCAAACTATTTGACAAAATAAAGCATTCTATTAAATATTTAAGGCTTACACATGGGAAAGACTTTCATCCCAGAAATGTCAAAGCATTAGTTCTTTTCATTTGCAGCCTGTGCTTAGTAACGGGTGTGCCCCCTGCCCCCTCCCCACCTTTCATGAACAACACAGGACAGCCAGGGGACACAGAAGAAGGCAGACCTAGACCAAAAAACAACTTCTAGGTGACTTCCCGGGGCTGCCCCAGATCAGGGGAGCCCTCATCTTCCCCTGATGTAGACTGACGTGTAAGACTGAGGTGACATTCAAGGAAAAGAGAGAAGGAGGGAATACAGCGGGCAGGATCATTCTTTTCAACATATTAAGTCTGAAAGAAATAAAAATTCAGTAGAAATAACTTCAAATGTTTAACAATTGTATTTTCATCTATATGCATTCGTAATATCAATCTGAAACTGTAATTTTGTAGCTGAAATGAGATGGAGGGAAAGAGGAAAGGAGGGAAGAGTATGAGAGAAGCTTGAGTCACTTTGGCTAGTAAAAATTTGAAATAAATGGAGTCAGTTTCAGAATTTGTTATATTTTGCTATGGTCTTTCTAATATAAAAGAGAATCGATAAGAAAATATGATGGGATCTTTCCTATGTCAGCCTACTTCTCAAGTGTTTTGAATGAACCAAAAATCTTCCTTTTATAGTGCCTCTACTGGCAACTCCATGATAATGTCACTTAATATAGGTCTCTCTGTTGCCAGGTCAATAATTTCCAAAGTGAAGTTCACTGATGTGTGGAGGTACTTAAGGAAAAGTCATAGCTCAAAAACTAAACAATCACTGCTACAAAGGTGAGGTGTAAAGAAGAGAAGGGACCTAGAGTCTGATGAAGGGGAGGTGTTTGAGGGTTAGTAGGAGAAAATCTTTCAAACAAGAATTTTAATCCTAACAAAGGGAATGTTATTGGTTGAATTATAATAGCAGAGAAGTTGAAAATATCAATTTGTGATTTTTAAACCTGTATTTGTAAGTTATAAGAATGCCTGGAGTTAAACTCAATGAATTCACCACTGCTAATAACACTGAATCACAAAAATAAAAGCTTTTCTAATCAACTCAAATAAACTAACATTCCCAAAGCACCTACTATGTGCAAGGTGTTGTGCTAATCATAGTGGAAATTTTTTGCAAATAATAAAAGCACAAGATATGGCCTCAGCCTTTGAAGATTTTAAAAAAACAACAACACACAACTTATTGAGTGAGACAGGATTGATTACATATGAACTAAAAGAGTCAAGTAATTGGGAAAAATCTCATAACCTAACTGGAACCATTATGTTTGCCATAGATGCAGACTGGCATGATTTAGAGTTTCAATTCACTCTTCATGCAACGGAAGTCTATTTTCTTCACATTTCACCAATGATGTAAATAAAAACAGTACCTTCACCATCATCACCTTAAAATTATAAAAGTAAAACAGTAGGATTCTCAGTGTTAGAAAAGCAAAATAGGTCTTTAACGTAGGTAAGGAAAAATGTTCATTCATTTTCTAATTTCTGGATTTAAAGAAACAAGTTCAAAACCTTGAAGCAAGAAGTAAAAAAGCAGCTTAGTTTCCTGGGCAAATGTAAATTGAAAAAACCACAACCACCCAACACCAATCAGGGTGATGTTCCTGGTGGGCGCTTTCTGAAGAGTGGTAGAAACTGCTTTTTTTAATCTCTGTGTTTATGTTTGTCCCAAGATCTTCTAAGGGAGGGGTGAGGTGGGGGGGGGGGGAGGTGGCACTGTATAAAAGAAGCTGCCTTGAGATTTCTAAAATTCATACAAAAACTTCCTAGGTAAGGAAACTTACCAGATTTTGCCACCTGATCTTTAGTGATGGACCCAGAAGCAACCTCTGTTTATTGGGATTATTTATATGGTACAAGCCCAAATCCGGACGATCTGGAGGAGACCCACTTCCATGCTCCTTACACATCTGTTTTCCTTCCCATCTTATACGCAACCGTGTTCCTGCTCGGAGCGCTGGGGAACCTCCTCCTCATGAGCGTGTTGCATTTCAAACGGGGCAGCCGAAGACTGATCGACATCTTTATCCTGAACCTGGCCGCCTCGGACTTCATTTCCCTCATCACGCTGCCTCTCTGGGTGGATAAAGAAGCCTCGTTAGGACTGTGGAGAACAGGTTCTTTCCTGTGCAAAGGCAGCTCCTACATGATCTCTGTTAACATGCACTGCAGCGTTTTCCTGCTCACCTGCATGAGCATCGACCGCTACCTGGCCATTGTGTGTCCAGCCGTATCCAGGAAATTCCGAAGGAGAGACTGTGCGTATGGAGCCTGTGCCAGTGTCTGGTTTGTCTCTTGCCTCCTGGGGTTGCCTTCTCTTCTGTCCAGGGAGCTCATCCTGATTAATGATAAGCCATACTGTGCAGAGAAGAGGGCCACTTCAATTAAACTGACTTGGGCCCTGGTGTCCTTAATTGTTACCTTTTTTGCGCCTTTGGTGAGCATTGTGACCTGCTACTGCTGTATCACAAGGAAGCTGTGTGCCCATTACCAGCAGACGGGAAAGCATAACAAGAAGCTGAGGAAATCCATCAAGATCATATTTATTGTCGTGGCAGCCTTTGTATTCTCCTGGCTGCCCTTTAATACTTTCAAGCTCCTGGCCATTGTCTCTAGGTTGCAGCAAGAACACTACTTTTCCTCGTCTATTCCCCAGCTGGGCATGGAGGTGAGTGGGCCCTTAGCATTTGCCAACAGCTGTGTCAACCCTTTTATTTACTATATCTTTGACAGCTACATTCGCAGGGCCTTTGTGCACTGCTTGTGCCCTGGCCTCAAGAACTATGACTTTGGGAGCAGCACGGAGACATCAGATAGTCACCTCACTAAGGCTCTCTCCAACTTCATTCATGCAGGGGATTTTGCCAGGAGGAGAAAGCGGTCTGTGTCACTCTAAAAGGAACTCTGACTTTTCAAGCTCTGTTGGTGGACTGGACAGCTCATTTGGGTGGACAAAGAAAGAAGAAGAGTATTGCTAAAAGTATTCATATTGCTTCATAAATGCAAGGAAGAGTTAATTTTTATGAAAAAGACAATTGAAAAGTCTTTGTGTTTGTGGGTATAATTAGGCCATATGCTGGTGGGGTGGGGTTTTTTTGGTTTGTTTTTTTTCCAGCAGACTGGCCTTATTTGACCCTTGCCAATCCAGTTCACCGGGCAAAATACAACTCCTTTATGTCCTTGAACTCTGAGATAAAGGCTCCTGCTAGGACTAGTTTCTTTCTTCAAGATTCTTAATGCACATTTAGGCTTTTTTCTCTTTCAAGAACAATGGTACCTTGGCCCACACCACCCTTCATCCTGGGCTCCAAAGTGGACTACCGTTAAAGGATTCTGCCCACTTTCACCTGGTGAGACATGTGGTGTCAATGTAGGTAGCAGAAAATATAATATATCTGTGCTCTGACAGTAATTGTTCCTGAGTAATGAAGTGAGGTTCTGGTCTTGTTATTTAAAACCTTGTATGGTGATTCTTTACCATCTTCCAATGTTGGCTTTCATCCTGTGCCATTCAAAATAACTTTAGACTGGCAAAAAGCTCATGGGGGTGAATCATTTTGTATTATGTTTATGACTTGAGACTTACATTATTACCTGGTCTTCTAGAGTATTTTAACAAGAAAGCCTATGGCAAGGTTTGACCTTTATTTTCTTTATAAGATATATTGGTAAAATTGTATCTCATTATAATGGTGTAGTAACTACTTTTCAATGGGGTTTTGCTATGCTCTTTTGTTTTTATTGTCTTTATAAATTGGGATATGACTTTGCTTTAATTATATGTTTTTAATTTATCCAGTTATCTAGGTATCAAATAAAAATGTTACTAATAATATAATTAGGGGTCATCAAATGCTTAGCTACAGCCTTGTGCAGATTATGCTTTTGTAATTTAATTAAAATGTTAGTGCTACGCATTCCTCATAGTATCATTTGCTGGAGTATATAATTACAAGATTTGATCCAGTAATATAGGAAGGCAGGATACTCTGAAGTAAAAAAAAAAATCATAACAATGATGATGTTGGTATTTTATATAGATTTTTCCAAACCCAGAGACTATCCTGAATTCCTTCACCCAATAAGTATTTACTTAGATGATTTGTACCTAATATTCTTTTTAAAAACTTTGGAGTGAAAAACTAGCAATGTAATTAGCAGTAAACACAAACGCAGCAAACATACTATTGGAAACATTTTTTAATTTAAAAGAAAGATGTTATATTTTTAAACTCACTGTTGACTCAAGTGAGTTAATGTTTTACTTCTAACTATTAAGTTTGAAAATCAGAGAAAGCTTATAATTTTTTCAGAGATGAAGTAATTCAAGTTCATTCTATGTATGTATCTTTCACATTAAAAAAATGTCAAATATTGGGCATCTTATAATCCACTTAAAAGTTGAAAATATAATTTTTTTATTTTGTAAATTGGTTCATTTGTTAATTTCTCTTAAGCTTTTATTAAATAAAAATATAATGTCCTTATATACGTATTCTATGTTGTATTAATTTTATCAACACAGTAATATTAATTAATAGTAATATTCTTAGTATTTTAGTAATTAATCATAGATATAGAAAAATGACAGTGTAAATAATAAGAAATAAAGTTTCTTGGAATACTTCAAAACTGAATTCAAAACAATTAAATAGATCTCCAAAGGTTAGATGAAAACAAAATATGGAAGGTAGAGACATTCACATTTTTAGAACAAATCAATAAAAACACTATTACTAATCATGAAAATCATTGTCTTTAAGAAATGCTCCCTATAAAAAATAGCCCAATCACTTAGCTAAGGTATTTGTTAGGAAATGAGAAAACATAGATTATTAGGTTTAACTTCATCTTTAATGTTGGAACATTGAGCAAATAATTTTAATCTTTCATACTTAAATTTAGTTGGTACTATATATGTATAGAATTCTCAAGAATATTATAAGACTAATATAATGGTTTTTTAAAATACCGAGTAACAAATTATTATATAAAGCTATTGGGTTTCTATTATTAATTATTGAATGTTGCTTAAAAATTTCCAAACTAAAATATATCAAATGATAATCACTCTCACTTAACAAATACTAAGAATCTAACTTCTGTTTCATCCTTTAGTTTTTGATGAGAATATTTAAAATAACATCAAAAAATACATATTGTTGTACTTTCTAATACTTTAAATAGACATGCTAATTTTATTCTTAGTGTTTTTTATATTCATAATGTACCAAAGAGATAGAAGGAAAAATACATAATTTTATAGATGGCATAACTGTCATAGAAAAAAGTTCAAGACTTGTTTAAGTTGGTAAGTTACTATGTCATATGTGGATTCCTCTGGTATAAAATATAATTTATATTATAATAGCATTAAAGGTTTTATTATAAATTATTTGGTTAGATCTCATTTTGCATAGTTTTAAACCATAATATTTCCACATTTTTAATATGAACAAATTCTATGTATATATATATTCAGAAATATAGACATATATTAATAACTTTTCAAGATTTTTGGTATCTCAGTTAAACTACTCTGAGGGCTACTTTGTGGTAATTTAAAGTCATTATGCAACAAATCAACACACATTGCCACAAGTTCTAGAAAATTAATCCTTAACAGAATCATGCCTTGCTGGTTACAGTCAAAGTTAGTAAAACAGACTACAATTTAGTAAGAGTAAATCTATAAGGAAATCTTTGCAGATTAACATTACCTGTTGTTTATTTAAGCAGTCCAAAGCTATTGGCAAAAGTCACTGACATATATATGACAGTAATCTCCAACCATTTCTCAAGAAACTTTTCTTCAACTTAACACAGAAAAGCTCTCCATTATAAAGCCTGAGTAAAATGTCATCAATAACTTAGAATTAATTTAAAAATAGATATACTCAAGGTGCACATAGTCACAAACACACAGTTACTCCATTTCAGTCATATTTAAACATTAAAACCTACCTGGTATTCCTGGGACTACCTTAATTTGTCCCCTCTAACAAGTCAAAATCACCTCTGAGTGAGAATACAGTCTTAAAGGGAAGCTATGTGCGTGACTGAGAGTAGACTGCTACTCCAGGGTCACAACATAATTTTTAAATAGATGAAGAAATGCACAGTATGATGGTAAGCTGAGTGAAAGAAATCTTCCTTTATGATTCATTTTGACTCCTCAAATCATTCTCTATTTCTTCTCTTAGCAATCTCAGAGGTGAGAAATGACTCGTCAACTGTGTGTCACAGAGAAGTAAGCCTCATTTTACTTGCAGAACTCATTCACAAAAGTCAAGCAATATTAAAAGAATTACAAATTTATTTTAAACATGCCACTGGTATAGCCCGCCAGGAAGATGATGCCTCTAGCACCATGAGAGAGAGAAGCACCATCTGGAAAAAAAGCAGGACAATTCTACCAGAATATTTGTAAATGCTTATTGGATTTTGCCTTCCACGGAGGTTGGTGTGGATTGGATTGTCTCTTGCAAATGCCTGTTCTTATTTTAAGTTCTTTTCTTGGCATCTACCTCCTTTATTTTTGTCAATTCTATGAGTAAACAAGTATGGCTAGATGTTACATATATGTGTACAGGGAAAAAAACAGTACTAGTTACCTGATTTCATACTGTGGATATAAAAATCCACCTTTGAATGAATTACTCTTGTCTCTTGCTTTCTTTGCCAATTCTTTAATACAGCTGTATTTCCTAACTGTATTCAATAAATGGGAATTGTATCCTAAGATTAACCTACAGCTTTGCAAAAAAAAAAAACTTATTTAAAATATCCAATGTGTCAAATTAATAAAGGTTTGCCAGCCAGTGTGGTTCAGTGGTTAAGCATCAACCCATGAACCAGGAGGTCAGGATTCAATTCTTGGTCAGGGCACAGGCTTATCCCAAGTGGGGAGCGTGTAAAAGGTAGCCAATCGATGAGTCTCTCTCATCATTGATGTTTCTATCTCTCTCTCTCTCCCTCTCCCATCCTCTCTAAAATCAATAAAAATATATTTTTTAAAAAGTGAAGGTTTTTTTTGCTTTTAAACAATTTTATTTGTCCTAAGTTTTGTTACTTTAATTTCCCATAGCACCTTGGCAATGTTGAAAACAAAAATACAAATACAGAATGTACTCATTTTAACATACATGCATGAGCATGTGTCACATCATTTTTTTAGGGGGTGGGAGGGACAGTTTTGACAACAGGAACAAACTTAATTAATGGACAAAATAAAAGGCTGGTTCTGACCGCCCCCCCCCCAAAAAAAGTGAAGGTTTTTAATTAATCCTCACCCGAGGATATTTTCTCCATTGATTTCCAGAGAGTGGAAGGGATGGGGAGAGACAGGAGAGAGAAACATCTATGCGAGAGAGACACATCGATTGGCTGGATTGGCTGGGGATAAGCCTGCAACCAAGGTACTGCCCTGGACCAGAATCGAACCCATGACCCTTCAGTCACCAGCTGATGCTCTAACCACTGAACAACTGGCTAGGGCAAAGTGAAGGTTTTTTTTGACAAGTTAAATCATAGTGAAATATAAATTCACATAAAATGCCCATTTATTTATCTAAAGGTGTTTTGGGGGGAGTAAATAAAAGTGGTGGGAAGTATTCTATTAGTTGGCAGACATTATTAAACTAAAAATTCTTGGTTGAAGTATATAAGTAAACTAGAGGCCTGGTGCACAAAATTTGTGCATGGGTAGGGTCCCTAGGCCTGGCTGGCGATCAGGGAAAATCAGCTGCTGGCTGCTGGCCAGGGCCTTCCTTCATCCCCTTGGTGGTCAGTGTACATCATAGTGAATGATTGAACTCCCAGTTGAACTCCCGAGGGGACACTTTGCATAATATAGATACCAAATTTCTAAGATACTCATGAAATACAAAAACACAGTGTACAAATAAAGCTGATAAGCACCTGATGAATCTTGTTGCTAGTATTTAGACTAAAGTACTTGATAGAATACAAGAAAGGAGAAAATAAAGCAAAGAAAAATATAGTAAATAGAAAATACAAAATGAAATAGCACAGATAAATATAAATATATCTATCAATAATTATAATAAAAACACAAATGAATTAAAATTCCCTATTAAAAGGTTGAACAAGAGCCTATTCCACAATCATCTACTGTACAGGTGGGGCAAAAGTAGGTTGACAGTTGTTTGTATGGAAAACAGTACAATAATCCTATCTAATAAAGAGAGAATATGCTAATTGACTCTCATGCTGTCGCAAAGATGGCGGCACCCACA